ATTCTAATATAGAGCAGTATTCTAATTACGTTACTTCTACCTGTGCATGCTTCATTTAAGGTGTCATTTTAATCCATTTGAACAAATTAGTTTTTTTTTTCCTGATAGATTTTAGAGGGTATTAGGTACTTATCGACATAGATAGGAGCATGTTAAAATGTACAGGACAGTTAAAAACAAGTTAGGTGACAAACACTAACTGGAATAAGTAGGTATTTTTGTCCTTTTGAAAATCCTAGCAGAAGCTTATGTGTGTATCTCAGCACCTAGATTTCTGTGAAGTCCCTGACAGCACGAGTTTTTTTTTTTCCCTTTCCCTTTCCTTCATCTGTCTTCTGTTACAAGTAAAATTAACTTTGTTTAATGTATTTCTGCACAAATTTATAGTATTCTTATCTTAAAAAAACAGATTGACAGTACTTGGCATTTCTGTCTGTGCTTTATGCACTTATCACCATTGCTCTATTATCTCTTAGTTTTAAGAAGTTAACTGGCTTTCAGATAAAAAAAAAAAAAAAAACATAGCTGGAGAAAGGACATAGATGTTCTAATTCACAAGATCAAGTGTGTGCTGCTTAACAAAACATTGTGTAACATTATACCATTATACTCAAGATAATTCTAACAAGTTTGTTTGGTATTGGAGGTGGTACAAATGTATTGGGTTAGCACTCTGTTTACACTAATCTATACCACATCATCTGGGGCTCAGGTTAATTTAAGAATTAGTTCTGATATCTCTGTAAGGAACTGCATTGGGTTCTCAAGACACTGGGCTGTGTAGTGAGAACTGCATTGGGTTCTCAGTTGTGTGATGTAAATTGTGAAAAAATACTCAAAACAAGTTATGTTTGTTCCAGATTTCCAGGAGAAGTCTGAATCTAGAGTAATGCCTCACTTCTGTACAGCTATTTATATGTCTCTTAGTCACATGATTCCCATGATTTTGGGGGGATTCCACCCGCTGCGCTTTGTGCTCTTTCTCAGTGAGTGAGGCCATTCTGGTGGTACTGTTCAAGGATCGTTGTTTCTTGGCCCTGGCACATCAGGGAGAAATAGCTCTGGTTTATGGCCTAACTTATGTCTGGATAAACTTAAAGAACTTTTTGCATGTATAGGTGAAGATTTGTGAAGCACATAAATGTAGTGTGTTGAAGTAAAATCCTGTGCAAAGCTGTCTTGCAGGGGTTTTCTGTCGCCTTTGAAGATGGATAATGTTCAGACTCTTCTCTGATGCAGTTGTGATTTGTCCAATAACACAAGTACTACAAACACCATGTTCATAATATCCCTGTGAACAAAAATGTCTTGCCACTTCATGCTTAGGGACTTAATGTTTAAACTTTTTTTAACCAGTTAACCCAGGTAAAGTTCCAGGTCATGATGTGCACAGCCTTCCCTTTTGCATGCCACTGAAATGTGCTTTCTGGTTAATTCTGAAATGATGCATGAATTTTATTATTTTGTTCTTTCTCCTTACTCTGAACGTAGGCAATTTCAGAGCATAATTTTCAAATGAGCTATATACCCTGGATTTCTGTAGTATGTCTACAGAGGTAAAAGATTCCTTAACACTGGACCTGGCACTCATTTTACGTTTAGGAAGATACTAAGAGAAGAATTCTTGTTCTGTTAACTGGGATGGAGTATAATCCCCATGTAAATCACCTCCCTAAGCATTTATCAGTGTATTCTTGGTAGAGATGGCTGGAAAAGCCTGAATTTACACCCCTTGTGAGGAGGCTATGATCTGTGCTGCTTAGCCACACTAAGATACCATCTCTGCATTTTTAAGTGGCAATCAGTGCAAAGTCAGGTGTTTTGGTTTCATTTGCCTGAGAAGGGTGAAGGAATATTTCAGTTTCCTCTCTGCTAAGATGTTGACAAGGCTAAAAGTATGGTTGGTCATTTAATTTTCACTGTGATTTTTGTGATCAAATATCCAAACTGTGTGGAGTGGAACTGAAATTGCTCAGACATTGTATGCAGTCGCTAATGAGTAATTAGCTGGATGTCACAGCTCTGAATTATAGCCCTCTCAGTTGGTTAACCAGTAAGCTAAACATGAAAGCTTGTATATATGATTACTGAAACCCTG